ATAAATTTGGGAGTTAACTAATACCCGAGACACGTAGTGTCTCCCACCCTTCCACCTCCTCTAACCTCCTAATAACGACTAAGTGTGGTGAGCAGGTAAGCTATTTGCATTTTTTTTTCCCTCATCGCTGTTATCTTTCGGGGTGGTCACCCAGACGCCAAATCCTCTGGGAGCGGGTCGGAAGGCAAAGCCGGAGTCTGTTTGAGTATATAACGGAGTAAAGTTACTGGTGCAGAAAACACTGCAAAACTGAAAAAAAACTAATTAATTTTAAATAATTAACTAAGTAGAGATGGCAGGCCAGGTGATGTGTTGTAGCTGTATGATGTGGGAGCTAGCTGATCACATTGAGAACAGCAGTGACCACATCTGCAGCAACTGTTGGCTGTTTGAGGAGCTCCAGCTCAAAACTGATGAGCTGGAATCCGAACTCCAAACACTGCAGCACATCCAGGAGAGGGAGAAATACCTGGATGCTGTGTTCCAGGAGGCAGTCCCACCTGGTAGATTAACTAATGTTAATTCGATTGGCAGGCAGGGACAGCAGTGTGTGACTGCGAGTGAGGCAGGTAGAGGGACCCTGCAGACAGGAACACAGGAGCCGCAGCCCTTCACATTGTCCCACAGGTATGAGGCACTTGCTCCCTGCGTGGATGAGGAACAGGGCTGCAGGAAGGATGAGTCAACTGACCATGGCACCATGGTCCAGGAGGGCATTCAAGAGGGGGGAGCAAAAGGACAGATTGTAGTTGTAGGGGATTCCATCATCAGGGGGATAGACAATATCCTTTGCGAGCAGGATAGAGAATCCCGCATGGTGTGTTGCCGGCCCGGTGCCAGAGTGCGAGACATCTCTGACCAGCTTGAGAGGATACTAGAGAGGGAGGGGGAGGATCCAGTTGTTGTGGTCCACGTAGGTACCAACAACATAGGCAGGACTAGGAAAAAAGACTTGTTTTGGGATTATGAAAAGCTAGGAACAAAATTAAAAAACAGGTCTTCAAGGGTCATAATCTCTGGATTGCTGCCCCAGCCACGTGCAAATTGGCATAGGGAGGCGAGGATCAGGGAAGTAAACATGTGGCTAAAAGAGTGGCGTGGGAAAGAGGGTTTCCTTTTCATGGGGCACTGGCATCAGTTCTAGAACAGGAGGGATCTATACCACTGGGATGGACTCCACCTGAACAGGGCCGGGTCCAGTGTTCTGGCGAAAAGGGTAAATAGGGTGGTTAATAGGACTTTAAACTAGTAAGTAGAGGGGGGAAGGGAGAAGTGAGCGTAGAGGGAGAATAACAATTAATGTAAGGCAAAGCAGCAGGTTAGCAGGTGACGAGGAAGCTTCAACTCCATTGAAAATTAGGAAAAAAGTTAAAGGGAAGGAGAACTCAAGAGCTGTTATTAATGGAGGGAATAGGACCCAAAAAGAAGGTGCAAAAACTGGCATAAGGGCACTTTGTCTGAATGCTCGGAGCATTCGAAACAAGGTGGATGGGTTGACGGCGCAAATCATGGCAAATGGGTATGATTTAGTGGCCATTACAGAGACATGGTTACAGGATGGTCATGACTGGGAGTTAAATATCCAGGGGTATCAAACTGTTCGGAAGGGCAGACAGGAAGGTAAGGGAGGTGGTGTTGCTCTGATTTTTAAGGATGATATCAGAGCGGTAGTGAGAGATGATATAGGTTCTACTGAACAAAACGTTGAATCCATTTGGGTGGAAATTAGGAATAGCAGGGAGAAGAAGTCACTGATAGGTGTGGTCTATAGGCCACCAAATAATGACATTGTGGTGGGGCAGGCAATAAACACAGAAATAGCCAATGCATGTAAAAATGGAACAGCAATTATCATAGGGGATTTTAATCTACATATCGATTGGTCAAACTAGGTCGGTCATGGCAGCCTTGAGGAGGGTTCGTAGACAGCATCCGCGATAATTTCCTTGAACAATATGTAATGGAACCTACGAGGGAGCAAGCTATCCTAGATCTAATCCGGTGTAATGAGACAGGAATAATTAATGATCTCGCAGTTAGGGATCCTCTCGGAAAGAACGATCACAGTACGATCGAATCTAAAATACAGATGGAACGTGAGAAGGTTAAATCCAGTACCTATGTCCTGTGCTTAAACAAAGGAGACTATGAAGGAATGAGGGAGGAGTTAGCTAAGGTAGAATGGGAGCAAAAACTTTATGGTGGGTCAATTGAGGAACAGTGAGGACTTTCAAAACGATTTTTCACAGTGCTCAGCAGAAGTATATTCCAGTGATAAGGAAGAACAGTAGGAAAAGAGAGCCAGCCATGGATGTCTAAGGAAATAAAGGAAAGTATCAGATTGAAAAAAAACACATACAAAAAAACAAAGAGTAGTGGGAAACTAGTAGACTGGGAAATCTTTAAAGGACAACAAAAAGCCACCAAAAAAAGTTATAAAAAAAATTAGATAGATTATGAGAGTAAACTAGCTCAGAATATAAAAACAGGCAGCAAAAGTTTCTATAAATATGTAAATCGTAAAAGAGTGGCGAAGGTAAACATTGGTCCTTTAGAGGATGAGAAGGCCAATTTAATAACTGGGAATGAGGAAATAGCCGAGACATTAAACAGTTATTTCATGTCGGTCTTCACAGTGGAAGACACAAATAACATGCCGAAAACTAATGGCAAGACGGTTATAGCAGGTGAGGACCTAGAAACTATCATTATCACTAAGGAAGCAGTGCTGGGCAAACTAATGGGGGCTAAAGGTAGACAAGTCTCCTGGCCCTGATGAAATGCATCCCAGGGTACTAAAAGAGGTGATGGGGAAAATAGCAAATGCGCTAGTAATTATTTACCAAAATTCACTGGACTCTGGGGTGGTTCCCGCAGATTGGAAAATAGCCAATGTGACACCACTGTTTAAAAAAGGAAGTAGACAAAAAGCAGGTAACTATAGGCCAGTTAGCTTAACTTCGGTAGTGGGGAAAATGCTTGAATCTATCATTAAGGAAGAAATAGCAAGACATCTGGATATAAATTGTCCCATTGGAAACACCCAGCATGGGTTCATGAAGGGTCGGTCATGTTTAACTAACTTGGTGGAATTCTTTGAGGACATTACTAGCATGGTGGACAATGGGGAACCTGTGGATGTGGTGTATCTGGATTTCCAGAAGGCATTTGACAAGGTGCCACACCAAAGGCTGCTACATAAGATAAAGTTGCACGGTATTACAGGTAATGTATTGGCATGGATAGAGGGTTGGTTGACCAGTAGAAAGCAAAGAGTAGGGGTAAATCGGTGTTTTTCTGGTTGGCAGTCAGTGGCTAGTGGTGTGCCTCAGGGATCAGTGTTGGGACCGCAATTGTTTACAATTTACATAGATGATTTGGAGTTGGGGACTAAGTGTGGTGTGTCAACATTTGCAGATGACACTAAGGTGAGTGGTAGAGCAAAGTGTGCAGAAGACACAAAGTCTGCAGAGGGATGTAGATAGTCTAAGTGAGTGGGCAAAGGTCTGGCAGATGGAGTACAATGTTGATAAGTGTGAGGTCGTCCATTTTGGTAGGAATAACAGCAAAATAGACTATGTTTTAAATGGTAAAAAATTGCAGCACGTTGCTGTGCAGAGGGACTTGGGTGTCCTTGTTCATGAATCGCTTAAAGTAGGATTGCAGGTGCAGCAGGTAATTAAAAAGGCAAATGGAATTTTGTCTGCCGTTGCTACAGGGATGGAGTTTAAAAACGGGGAGGCTATGCTGCAGCTGTAGAGAGTCCTCGTGAGGCCACACCTGGAGTACTGTGTGCAGTTTTGGTCTCCTTACTTGAGAAGAGTTATACTAGCACTGGATGGCGTGCAGAGGAGATTCATTCCGTTGATTCCAGAGTTGAGAGTGTTGGATTATGAGGACAGACTGAGTAGACTGGGATTATACTCATTGGAATTCAGAAGAATGAGGGGAGATCTTATAGAAACATATAAGATTATGAAGGGAATAGATAAGGTGGAGGCAGGGAGGTTGTTTCCGCTAGCAGGTGAAACTAGGACTAGAGGGCATCGCCTTAAAATAAAGGGAAGCAGATGTAGGACTGAAGTCAGGAGGAACTTCTTCACCCAAAGGGTTGTGAATCTGTGGAATTCCCTGCCCAGTGAAGCGGTTGAAGCTACCTCGCTCAATGTTCTAAAGGCAAGGCTAGATAAATTTTTGAACAGTAAAGGAATTAAGTGTTATGGTGAGTGGGCGGGTAAGTGGAACTGAGTCTCAAAAAGATCAGCGATGATCTTACTGAATGGCTGGGCAGGCTCAAGGGGCCAGATGGCCTACTCCTGCTCCTAGTTCTTATGACTCAGAAAGGAATCAGTTCACCCCATCAACCTCAGTCATAATAAAGGTTAAAATGAGTTGGGAAAAGATAATGTAACTGGGTCATTCTAACATGAGAACAGTGTAAGTGAATCTTAACAGCTGCAACATTACAAAAACGAAAATCAGAGATTAATAACTGTGACAATATGAAAAAGTGAGTGGGTAACAGTCCTGCCTCTGATTCAAATGGTCATGTGTTTAAGTTTCACATCAGAAACTTGAGCACATAACCTAGGGTGACCCCTCAATGCAGTGCAGTTCTGTTGGAGGGTGTCTTTCAGATGAAATGTTAATGACTTATTCTAATTACTCTCTCAGGTGAATGGTAAAGCTTACATGGCATTATTTTCAAGAACACAGGGGTTCTCTCTAGTAGCCAGCTCAATATTTATCCCTCAACAAATATCAATGAAACAGGTTATCTGGTCATTTAACTTTGCCAGTTGTGAGCTAGTTGCTCTGCACATAATGGTTGCCACTCTAAAATGCTTGGGTAGTCCTGTAAAAAGAGCTACATAGATGCGAGTTTGTTTCTCTTCATGAAAAATGTGAGAAATATGCAGTTCTACATCTCAGGCATGTTACATTTCGAATGCTACAAAATTCCAGTGATACCCATGTTGCAATTCAATATCTTTTCTTACCTGGACCGCTGAGTGGTGGCAATCTGGATGGAATTTTCTGTAACGCGGGAAGAGGTATGAGATATATGCTCTTAGGTGACTTCTGTTCAAGTACCACAGCACCATACCTCTGCCGGCTGTTTAAATATGAGTAATACAAGGTGTAAGGGCAAACATCTCCTCTCGTAGCAGGTTTGAAACGTACAATGCACATTTCCTAGAGGACAATAGACATTAGAAAAATATCATTAAATCACTTACAAAACAGCAGCACATTTTGTAATTACCCTCAAAAGGAATATAGGAAGATAAGGAAGAAGAGTAGGTCATTCAACCTCTCTATTTTACTCTGTCATTCAATTAGACCATGGATGAGTTGCACTTTAACTTAATTTGCCTATCTTTATCATAAATCCTTTGATACTCAAATGAAAAATCTTTCAAACTCAGTGTGGAGACCTTCAATGTACTCAGTACCTACATTCTTTTTGGGACAGTGTTCTAGATTTCTACGACATTTTGTAATTGTGCACATTATACAAATGAATGAGTTTGAGTTGGTTTTTGATTGTTGCTACCTTTTTAAGAGAATCAGCTTGGGTTTTGACGAAGATTCTCTTCTTCCATATGTGCCCACTCCAATCACAGGGCGCAATTACTATTCCAAAGTGGAATAAGTAGTCTTAAAGACAAAACAATGTGCTTTAACATTAGCCTGGAGCCACCAGGGGAGGGGTCAGGGTCAGGCTCAGGCTCAGGCTCAGAATTGTGAGATGCAATTTTATCTCAGATATTGAAGTGAATTACGAAGCAAGAAATTAATTAACAACATGGTCATGTTGCTAGGAACATTGGAGACTAGGATCTGAAGTCATTTAGAGAAAAGCTAGATGCTGCAGTGGGACTTTGTTCCAGAATGGCAACACTATCAATGAGGTCAAATGGAACAAAGTCCAAAGAGCCAGACTCATTTAAATCCAGCTTGAGAATGAATTCTAATTTTACTGAGCATTTATTCATTCATAGTGAGGATCGCACAATTCAAATGGAAAACTTAGCATGTCTGGTGTCCATTGCTTTGGTCCTTGTGATTCTAATTTGTCATGCTAACAGTTTTGCTGTTTCCTTCTCAATTTATTAAAAAAAATAAGAGATTCAAGTCATAGAACAGAAAAAATGACTTTTTAAACTTTACTACCTCAAACTGGGCATGAAAAAGCTACACCTGATTTAACCTCTGAAACAAAATCAACATTCCCCCTATTTATAAGGAGCCGTCAGAGATGCAGGATTGAACACTTCAAGCAATCTGGCTCCTCTAGCACTGATGTTTGCTAAAAGGAGCTCCAAAAAAGTGTCCAAGAATCCAGAATTCTAACAGGTTAGGTATGAGCGCATCAGATATGACATTCCAGAGTTTCTCTCTATTTCCAGGAAGCTACTGAATTTATACCTGCAGGCAAATTTTGGCTGATGTCCTCATTTGAAACAAAAAAATGTAATTAAAGCTCAATATGTCCATAGGTAATGTGGGGTTATAATCTGTGGCCATGACAATACCCAGCATATCTCCCCAGCCTTCAATGCTACTCTAATACTACCACAGAAAAATCTTTGTCTTAGGTCTGAATGTTTGTTGAGAATCTTGGGAACTCCTTGCCACGCAGAGTTGCGCAGCAAGAGTCTTTGTGCATATTTAAAGCTAAGATAGATTCTTGACCAGTACGGGATTCAAGGGTTAAGGGGAAAGGCAGGTAAGTGGACATGAAGAACTTTGCATCAGCCAAGATCCTATTGAATGGTGGAGCAGACTCAAGAGGCCAAATGGCCTATTCCTGTTAATTTTTATGGATTTATGGACCGGGTGATGTTGGAAGGATGTTTCCTCTTATGGGAAAGTCTAGGACTAGGGATCATAGTTTTAAAATAAGGGTTCACCCATTTATAACAGATGACAAAACATTTTTTTTTCCTCTCAGAGGGTTGAGAATCTTTGGAATTCCCTTCCTCAAAGGGGAGTGGATGCAGAATCTTTAATATTTTTAAGGTAGAAGTAGATAGATTCTTGATTATCAAGACAATTAAATATTTCTGTGGGCATGCACGAATGTAGAGTTGAGGTTAAAATCAGATCAGCCCTGATCTTACTGAATGGCGGAGCAGGCCCAAAAAACTGAGTGGCTTATTCTTCAGCATCTGTTTGAAATTCTCCCATCAAAGGAAGTAGCTTTTCCATATCTACACTACTCAAATTCTTTTAACATTTTAAACACCTCAGTCAGATTACCCCTCAATGTACCATATACAAGGGAATACATATCAGGTTATCTAATCTCTTCTCATAATTAAACCTAATCCCAGTATCATTTGGGTGAATTTGTACCACACCAACTCCAATATCTTTCCTGAATGGTTCCAGGGATGAGAAGCTTCCTGAAAGTATGGTGGATGCGGGTTCAATTGAGACATTTAAGATGTCACTGGACGATTATTTAGATGAAAACAATGTGCAAGGGTATGGGAAAAAAGCAGGAAATTGATACTAGTTAATGATGCTCATTTGAACAGCCAATGTAATCAAGATGGGTTGAATGGCCTGGTTTGGGCCGAAATGAACTCGGTACTCCAAGTGAGCTAAAGCTAATGTACAGATGAAGCACAACTTGGACCATTTAAATTTCAGCTCACTTGAGTTAAAGCCCAACATTTAATTTGCATCTTTTGGGTTTTTATTTGTAGTGTATGTGCATGTGTACATTATATGTGTACTCATATAAATGATTTGCTTACTTGACTCAAATTCTTTGCTCTTCTAGCATTTCTAGTTCCTCACAATTTGGAATATATTATGATTAATCTTTCTTATATAGAAGTCAGAGGCTTAGGGGTGACCTTATAGAAGCTTATAAAATCACAATGGGCATGGATAGGGTGAATAGTCAAGATCTTTTCTCCAGGGTAGGGGAGTCCGAAACTAGAGGGCATAGGTTTAAGGTGAGAGAGGAAATATTTTAAAAAGATGTAAGGGCCAACTTTTCATGCAGATGCCTTTTAAATGTTGTAATTGTACCAGTGTGTATGGAATGAACTGCCAGAGGAACTGGTGGAGACTGGTGCAATTACAACATTTAAAAGGCATCTGGATGTGTATATGACTAGGAAGGGTTTAGAGGAATATGGGTCAAATGCTGGAAAATGGGACTAGATTAATTTAGGATATCTGACCGGCATGGACGAGTTGGATCAAAAGGTCTGTTTCCGTGCTGTACATCTCTATGACAATGACCTGACACTTGCCTACATTAACCTCCATTTGTGGAATCCTAAAAGTGTGGAAACAGGCCATTCGGCCCAACAAGTCCACAGTGACCCTCTGAAGAGCCCCCACCCAGACTCACTCCCCTACCCTGTCACTGCAACCCTCCATTTCCCATGGCTTACACAGCTAACCTTCACATCCCTGAACTCTATGGGTAATATAGTATGGCCAATCCACCTAACTTGCAAATTTTTGGACTGTGGGAGAAAACTGGAGCAACCAGTGGAAACCCACACAGACATAGGGAGAATGTGCCAACTCCACACAGTCAGTCACCCGAGGGTGGAATCAAACCCGGGTCCTTGGCACTATGAGGCATCACTGCTAACCACTGAGCCACCCAAAAGAACTTGCTTGGACCTGTTATGACTCACTTCCAGCACCGGCAGGACTTGAACCTAGACTTTCTGACTCAGGGATAGGGACACTACTACTGCACCAATGCATTCATATTTGTTATAGTCATCCATTTACTCTTCAAACCCAATGTCATTATAGAGTGAAATATTTTCTTCAACGGTTTATTCATTTAGCAACATAAAGTACATACCAACTGTGTCAAACATGAAAAGCCATTGCTAAGACTCAGTAGTAATAATAGTCAACAGTTAATGTTTGGATGACATGCACCTGGATTGTAGGCAAGTCTCCAACACTAAGAAACAGCTACAAGGAATTAGACACAAAAATCCGAAGGTAAGTATACTCAGTCAATCCTGTTTAATCCAGAATTCTATCATTTAGAATTCTCAACCATCCAAATGTTTATCAAGGACTGACTTACAGCAGTCCAATTTCCACTTGTTGAAACAGAAGTCTTGTGCTGTAACAAGAGACAACAAGGTGCAGGGCTGGATGAACACAGCAGGCCAAGCAGCATCATAGGAGCAGAGAGGCTGACGTTGCGGGCCTAGACCCTTCATCAGAAAAGGGGGAGGGGAAGGGGGTTTTGAAATAAATAGGGAGAGAGTGGGAGGCGCATAGAAGAGGGATAGAGGAGAGGATAGGTGGAGAGGAAACAAACAGGTCGAAGAGGCGGGGATGGAGCCAGTAAAGGTGAGTGTAGGTAGGGAGTTAGGAAGGGGATAGGTCAGTCCAG